AGACCTTGAATGTGAATGCAGGGAAGGTGTTTGTGAAAATGCCCAAGAGGATTTTGTTTCGCCTCTTTTGATTGAACTTGGTGGACGAAGAATTGGGATGAATTTCTGGGTGTCATGTTGATGGATTTTGTTTGAGAGGCAAGAAAAAAAAAATGCAAATATGTTTTGTACTGTGGGAAGATTGAAGAAGACGATCCAGAAAATGAAAGCTCAGGTATTTTGTTTATTGTGTGGATTTTTGGGTAATCAAATTAAATTAAAGTGCTATTAGATAAACATTAAATTAATTTTTGCACTTTGTTTTAGTGGTTGAACTTTGAAGTGTGTGAACGAAGGCTTAGGATTTTATTACTTATTTTAGTCATTCAAGCACATTAAATTTGAAGTTAAGCTCCTTCGTTTTTCAAAAATTGACTCCATATTTTAAAAATTTTGAGAAATCAAACTTTTATGCCTTTATTTCTTTATTTATTTCCCAATAAATACTATACATATACACGTACCAAACATATGTATAGGCTAAATAATTGTTTTTGCCCTATATGAATTAACAATTTTGCCCTTAATGTATATATGAGATTGCTATTTTGTCCTTGAACTATACATGTGGTTTCACTTGGTTGGACTATATATATTTAAGTAGGATGGGAGATTGAACCTCCGACTTTATGAAATGAGTAAGATGTCTTAACCACTATCATATTGGCGAACTATATATATTTTAGTTGGATAAAGTTACAATAAAGTGATTTTGAGATAAAAAAAATTGAAGGGTATATTTCAAAATTTCAAATGATTAAAGGTCTAAGTGAGAAAATAAATTAAAGATAAGATGCAATTTATCATGCTATAGACGAAGTTATAGGTTGACTCAAACATAACTCAAGTGGTAAAATATTTTTATCTTATTTTTATTGGTCATTGGATGATGAATCTACTAATATTTGGGTTCTACTCACACGTGAATGTAACAAATATTAAATTACTTTTTCACTTGAAACTTCCCAAAAAGAAAACGATATATTTAATAACAATAGTTCTGTCTCTCTCAAGGTATCCATAATTTGACTTTCTATAAAATTATAAATTACCTAATTTGATTTTTAATTTAATAACTATTAAGCTGATCCACGTTGGTTCTAAATTCATCGTTTCCTATAAATTAGGAATCCGAGCAACCAACCGGCAACCGGCGCAATGCCCGTTGGGCGGTGGGCGGTGGGGGGCAAACCTGTAATTTACTCGAAAACGAGGCTAATTAATTTTGAGTAATATGGCACACTGCATGCGTGCGTGGCTTCTTCTGCTATATATGGAAGCTCTCTCTATAGTGCTCTTTGCCACTGACAGATTCCCCAAACCAATCCAATTTCAGCGATCCTTCAACTGAATTAAATCCTCTTCTTCCCTCTTTGAAGCCCTAATTCTTCAAGTTTTCTGTTTCGATTCGGAGATTTTGAGCGTTTTCAATGGCGAATCAGCTCGGCAATCTGGTGGAATCCATAAAATCCAAGGTGAAGGCACTGAAGAAGTCCAAGAAGCCATATGTTAAGATGGATAAAAGCTCCAGCGTCAAGGTTGAGATCCGTAGCCGCAAAGCTCGCCTGTTGATCGACAAGACCTTGAAGGTCGCCGATCGCCCTGGCAAGCGTACCATTTCTTAGTCTCTGTATGATCTCAACTCTCTCTTTTCAGCACAGCGCACTCAGGTTTTTAACGCTCTCTCTGTAATTTACGCGTAGTTGCAATTGCGGAAACTTCTGCTTTGTGATTTGTTTTGTTTTGGATTGATCGTGTAGGCTTGCCGATTCTGAGTTTCTCGTGGATTTATTCTAATATGGAACCGTTTCGGATAAATAGGTCTGGAACTAAACTTGTAATTATGGATTGATTGACGAATATGAATTCCGAGTTTCTTCTTCTCTTCCTTCTAACTCTCTCATTATCCTCTACAAATCTCGGCCTCAATCTCGATCTACTGCTCTGTTTGCGATTAATTTCAACTCCTCGAGATGGAAGACTTCGATTCGAATCTTTTGATTCTGAATCGAACAGAAACAGTAGAGGTTGTTTTGACTTTGATCGAATACATCGATTCATTTAATGAAGTGGGAGAGTTTTCTGAAGCGAGCGATTAAATTTCTCTGTTCGAACTATTTGAAAACTGTGAAAGGAATCAAATCAATTTGAATAGTTTGGGGGAAAACAAATCTGTGACGGTTCCGAGAGAAAATGGCCCACATAATTGAAGTGCAATTAACGACTGGCATGAAACTGCGTGCCCGATCGTATAGGACGGCAAAGGATTGGGATCATTGGACGGCCCACACAATTACGTCAATCAATTCTTCATTTCAAATGTCAATAACAGATTGTGCATTCTTATATATTATAAAAGTCAATCGTGTCCCATTCAATTTTTACAAAATAATAAGGCTTCTTTGTTTTTTTATATTGTATTTTGAATTATTAGGTTATATTATATATGATTCTCTAGCATTTTTTCATGTTACAGTTGAAATTTTGTGATATATCTATCTATCATGTGTATAAAGGACAGGAGTGTATTTAAAAATATAGCCCATAATTTGACCATTTTTTGTGTGTTATGTTTTATGAAGTTGTTGGCTAATTGTTCAATCTGCTCTCAGTTCTTTTGGTTGCTAGGATAGTTTTGGAGATGGAGTGAAAAAGGAAGGAAAAAAGAAAGAAAGAAAGAAGAGTATGTTGTATAACAATTGAGGGAAAGTGAAACCTCTCCATCGAGCTGATTAAGGTTGTTAACGGTGGGCTAAGGCTATGTGCATCTACTAAGTTAAAATGATTAACGAAAGGTAGAAGAGACCCTCCATGTGCAGATGGGATGAAGTGTCTTAATCTAGACATRGTAAGAAAGAGGTATGCTAGATCGGATAATCGATCTCATATATCTCGTTTGATATTGTTCACTTTTAGTTCAAATCTTTGATTTAATTTGTTCGAGCCCCATTAATAGCAAAGATATGATGCCTAAGTTTTATGTTCAAACCTTTGATGTCTTTCGGGTTGAGTTTTAGGGAGAGTGTGAGTGCCTCTCAATCTCTAGGGGGAAACCAGATGCCTTAACTACTGAGCTATATTTGATTTTGGATGTTGGAGGTGTGTTTATATATATATATATATATATATATATTATTTATTTGTTAAAAAAATGAAAAACAAATTAAATGCAACTTTTAGTTTGAACCGCAACCTTGGTTATTTAAGGAGAAGAAAGACTTTGGGAAATTTCGCAAGCATGGCCTTCCCCATAAAGGCATTTGAACAATTAAATTTTAATTTTATTAGTTGAAAGCTTACTTTGGTACTTCGTATATTTAATTTGTCAATGGTCTCMATGCATATAAAATCTTTCAACTTTATGGGTTTCTTTTATTTATTTTTAAAATAAAAACAAAAGGAATTTGATTTGGTTAGCTTTGACTTAGCATTTGGGCCCTTTGGCATTTAGTGTTGTGAATAAATGAATAAAAATATATATAAAAGAAAAGTGAGATAAAGAAAAATATAAAGTCAAAGTTGACCAAGAACACGTAGGCCTTAGACTTGGAGAGTCCACCACACCATAGCCCATTGGGCCATATACTTGCTTAGATATTGGGCCCAGACACTTGGTGAGGTCTGGGCTGAACTCCAAATCCACCAAATTTTTACCCAAAAAAATAATAATAATAAAATAATTCAAAATAAAAGTATTACAATAAAATGTTTAACAATAATCCCAAATTTAAAAAAAAAATAAAAAGTAAAAGAAATAATCCTTACCCAAATATTATCAAATACAAAATTCAAAGTATGTTTTTCATTCCCAGTTAATAAAGGAAGATAATTCTTCAAAGTCCTTGGAGTAAAACATTTCACAAAACAAAATACGGCATAGAGATACCAACGGATCCTTAAAGTTATTAGCATTTTCATTACAATTTTAATAAAATTTTAAACAAAAATTTAAATTACTCAAATCAACTCGATTCCAATGGATATATTGGCTAATTAGAGTCATTTGATTTAAACAAATTTAATTGGATTGGATTCAAAAAGTATTTCAACTCAACCCAACTAATTACCCATTAGAATTATTTGTCTCGAGATAGCTTCCAACTTCATCAAAAGACAGAATAATTTGTCTCAAAGATTAGAGAGTGACAAAAGAATTTTCAATTATGAAAGTTGCAAAGGCAGACCCAYACAAAAAATTCAAACATATTGAAAGTTCAGAAAAATACAAAGTTTTTTTTTTTTTTTTTGAGCACAGGAGGACTCGAAGTTGGATCTTGGGTGTTGACACCCAAGTCTCTTGCCAGTATGCCAACACCCGAAGGTGCTAGAAAATGCAAAGTTGAGTGAATCTGTTGAWGCAAAGTTTGAGATAAAGAGACACATGGCATGAGAAAATGCATAGGGGTTTAATTTTGTCACAAGAAATGGGAACAGTTGAAGCAAAAGAGGCAATGGGAGATGGAAAAAGAGAAAGGGAAAAATTCATCTTCTCCTCCCAATAAGTTTACAAAGGGAATTGAAGSCTTTTGTCTTGGCTGTGGTTGGGAAGGCAGGGCCTGGTTTTCCCATACCTCTTTAAAAGCACTTCTATCCATTTTGAGGGAATGCTGTGAGGCAAAGCACTTTTTGTTTTTTTGCATATTATTCATTTGCTGTGTGTGTGTGTGTGTCTCTCTACAAGGAAGAGATGAATCTGCAATAAAATATTTGAGAAGGGACATGTGGGCAGCATTAGAATTTTGACATCCTAAATTCCCAAATTGCTGTTTCTTTATTGATATCTTTTGTCAATTTTTCTGTTCTGCTGAATCAATTAAACAAATCTGAAGGGAAATTCAGTACAATTTTTTGGGGATGACATAATAAAAGCAAATCATGGCAGACAGTTTTGGGTGAAGCAAAGGTTTCARTTCTTTTTTTTTATATGTAAATAATTTAATCAATGAAACAGGGAGAGGATCCTTGAAAATGAGACAATTGTTTAACAAAATAGGCATGTTCTTCAGGAAGATTTCAACCAGAAGATTCTTCAAAGTTTTCTCACAGTTCTTTTTCTTTTTCTTTTTTTTTTATTTATCAGAATGGCCATTACCCATTTCAGGATTTGATTTGAATTTTATGTTGGAATGAGAATTTAGGATAATCAAGGTTAGTKAAGCTATGGAGGGTCTGGTTTTTGTCCTTTTTTGGGACCAAAATTTTCTTTTGAGTTTTGTTGCGGACTTGATCAAATCCCACCTAATCAAATCCTAATCAAATCTCAACTTTTAGGCATCATTTGGATGAAAGTTTGTGGGTCTTTTCCATTTTTGTCCTGTTTTGTTCAGAAAAACTAATCTGATTTGTTGTTTCCTATTGAAAATCTCTCACAAAGTTCGTTCATAAAACTGCCTAGTTGCTGCTCTGCTGGTTTCCATTTCCTCTGCTCTGCTCTTTCTTTGAAGGTAGGCCATTTCCAAAAGCCCTTTCTGTGGACATCATTTTCCATGAATTTTGGGCACAAAAATTCTAAAACCAGCCTGATTCAAAAAAAAAATAGCTTGGCTTTGCTTGGATTGTGAAAGAAAATGAGCTATAGTGAATTAGTAGGTTTATAATTTGTAAAGTTATGGGTTTCAAATGTCTTGATTTATGCTATGTCAAGGYAAAGTTCTCCCGCTGAGTTATGTCMCTTCCTTTGCCGCCATCGATGTAACTCGTAGAATCAACKAACTCGTGGTCTAATAAGCAAGCCTACGTACCAAACATCGTGTAATAATTGTATATTCTTATCTGCCAATTATATACTAATCTTTTTTCCTTWAAAGAATGAGAATTTTGTTTAAGTTTGGCAGCTACAGCAAAGGTCAAAATGGATGGGGATGGTTGAGGGAGTAGCCAATGTTGAAGGAGTTGAGCAAATAATCAGAGACACTGTTCATTGACCAAGAAATTGAATTTCCAAAAGAATAAAATCCCATTTCCAACTTTTTGCACTGAGGTTGTTTCCCATTGCATTGACAGTTAAAAAAAGGAAAGAAAGAAAGAGAAAGCAGGGAAAACAAAACCCATATCTTCAGATCCATTTCCCTCTACATTGGACAATCTCCCACACATTTTTGAGAGCAGCAAAACTACATTAGCAGCTTCAGAAAAAAGTGTTCCAAAATAAAGCCAACTATCTCATCTCATCTCATCTCATCCCCATTCCTTTCCCTTCAAACCACCTGTTTAAGAAGCAGAATAATAACAATCAGTTTTAAAATCCCAAGGAATTCATTGTGATTCATTAGTGCCTAAAATTCAGGCAAGAACTTAACTGGTTCTTTTGCATTCTGTTTCCTGATAGAGAAGATTGGAGGAAACCAAAGTGGTCTGTAAATGCTGATCTTTCCTGCATCAACAGCAACCAACAATGTCAATTAATATGCATTAGTCATGAGAGAGAGAGAGAGAGAGAGAGAGAGAGAGAGAGAGAGAGAGAGAGAGAGAGAGAGAGAGAGAAGCGAGAGTTCCAGTAAAACCAAAGAGGAAGGGACTAAGTACCTCAAAATGACTAGTTTGAGAGAAGTCCATGAAGCTGTCCATTGAGGCTTGATTGGTGAAATTATTCTGATGATTTGAAAGAAGCAACTTTAGTGAGTTCCCAATTGGGTCAGAATAATCATTGTAGATAAAGCTAAAAAGGGTCTAAAAGAGATTGTTCCGCAAACTTACAGGAGTGAAGTTGAGAGCAGGAGAACTAGCAGTGTCATCTAGGAAGGAAGAAGAAGGCTCATGGAACTGATACTCTTTAATCTTCTGCTTCTTCCCCTTCCTCTTCCCCAATGTGGCAGACTTAGAAGCACGAGAAAAATGGCCATCTTCTTCATGGGAGCAAGCGTCGTCTTCTATGAAATGTGGAGGCCCAGAAGAAGCATCAGAAACCATAGAAAGGTCCTCAACCTCCTCCTCTTCTTCTTCTTCACTAGCTTTAGCCTTCCAATATCCATCACAGAAACCACCCTCTCCCCCAACCATGCGATCAGAACCGCCATGTGAAAGAAAAGACTGCTCCAAATACAGAGTCCAACCAGACTCACACCCACTACTACACTCAGAACCCAACAAATCCATAATCCCCAAATACTTCTCCCTCTCAGGAAAATTATCAAACAGGTGGTGTGCAACAGGCCAAATTAAACAAACCAGAGGCAGGGGGTTCAGGATGGAACCAAAAAAACCCAGAGCKATGAACCTTTCCACAACCTTTCCACTATCTATATATATCTCAGGTTTTTCACCAAAGCCGAGTAAAATTGAACCGAAATCCCAAAAGAAAAAACAGGGTTTTGTCCTGACTCTTGGGGTTGAATGGGTGTGGGGGTGGGGGAGTGAAATGAATGAATGAATGAATCAAAATTATAAAAGAAGTGCCAGTTGGGTGTGGTGGGTTTATAGTGTTGATGATGCAAATAACAGAGAAAGAGAGAGAAAGCCACAACCTCTTCACATGCAAGACAGCGAGGCATTAGTACCCTCCTAAACCAAAACCAGGTACACGTCCATATCTCCTTCCACAGTACATTTGGAAACCTATCCCTTCTCTCTCTTCTTCTTCTTCTTTTTTCTCTTCAGTAGGTGATACTGTTTGGTCTAATCAAGTTGGTTTGGTTAAAAAGATATCTGGAAACGTGCGGTACTCGTCTGAGAATTCAATGGGGGAGGAACTGGAAAGGGGATTATTTTGGTTTTTAGTGTACTGAAATGGAAAGGATTTGGAATTTGGCTGGCTTTCTKTACTGTACGAGACAAATCAAATCTCCCCCACTTTTAATTCTTTTTTCTTTTCTCATTGGAATCCAAATTTCGCAGTGGGAAATGCCGAATTCTTCGTCGGGTCCGGGTTGGAATTGGGRTTGGAATTYGGGATGGGAATTGATTCGATCCGGTTAAATTCATTCCAATTTTGATCTAACGCCGGATCCATACAAAACTAATCATCCTTTTACCAATGTATTTAGTTAAAATTAACGGATTTCAACCCAATTTAATTGGTTGGATATTGTCYCCAAAGTATAATTGTGCTCTTGATTTGATTTGAAGTATATGTCATTTATTGTTGAATTCACTTTGACGTCTTTCAATCGAAACTAATGTATTAGTTCAAATCTTTGTACTTCATATTTGTTAKAAGGATATTCAATCTAATACAATTAAGAAAGAGAATGAGATGTAAGAACGATATAAAAAGTGATTAAGATATTTGTACCTTCCTTCGTGTTAACTTCCACATTTTTTTTTGGTTGAAATTTGTGATGTATGGRAGAGAACGTTAATTAGTTAAGTGGAGGATAATGGTTCAACCAAGTCTGAACATTCATGTSGGTTAGTCACAAAAATCAATGCTCACAAGAGTAGTCTCATCCATTTAAAAGAACATCCACAAAATAGAGAAAATGTGTGTGAAGTGAGAGGTTAGTGAAAAGAAGTGTGTGCATAAAGAAATTAGCGAGAGGAAGTGTTTTTGYATAATTAAGAAATGCAAGGAGATAATGTATTGTAGGTGAGATTACCATTTCACCTGAAGTGAGGTCAAGAAGCAACGTGAATCGAACCATCCAAGTTGAACCACTCGAGTAAACCAGATCGCGATCAAACCATCAGAGCAAACAAGACCTGACTCGACCAAGTTGAGCYAAGACCTAGTTGAGTCGATTCAATCGAATCAACTTGAAGAAAGGCATAGAGCATGAAGTACATCTTGCAACTCTATTTTTCACAAATATTCTAAACCCTCCACTTGACCGGACCAGACCATGGTCAAACCATTAGATCGTACAAGACCCGACCCGACCGAGGCCAACCAGACCCAATCAAGTTGATTCACTCGAACCAACTTACGAAGAGGCGTGAGGTGCGAAGTAAATTTTGCAACTCATTTTTTGCTTTTCTAATCATTTTCTTTATACATCAAAGTGTGTTGTACTTAGTAGATATAGATCTTTTGTGTGTGCAGACATTCATCAGAGCATTTGACGTAGGAGCTTACATCATCAGATAATATGTTCAACTTAAAAGTACTTCTTCGAAAATCAATACTGTCTAACTATCTAAAAAATACTTCAAAGTTATAGTTAGACACATAAACATTTTAAGACCGTAAATGTTTTTACTAACCCATCAAAAACATAAACTTCATAACTAAAAGCACTCCCGAACATACCCGAAAGCAAAATATGGTATGGTAGGATATAGAGAGGATCAAGCATAGAATTATTTTATGTTGGGGCTAAGTGAAGTTGACTAGGTGTGTGTTCCATTCCTAAGAATCTCACATGCAGTCACATTCTCAAATCTCTCCCTAAATATATATAAAACCATGAAAGAAGAGAGAGAAGACACGTGTACAGTACAGTCGTTTCTACCCTTTTCAAGAAATACGCTCTCGCTTCACCTCACACACATACACGTGGGCACGTGTGCATATTTTTTTTTTCATTTCTGAATTCCCCAAATATTCACACACATGCTCCCACGTGCACACGATTTTCAACCTCATTTTCCCTTCTTCCTATTTTCTTCCATTCTCTTMTTTTAATTAATTCTCACTTGTGAAACATGGGTCCTAATTCCAATGTTTTTCTTTTCCTACGTCATTGTCTATATGCCATACTATTCTTTTTGTCATACCCAAATTTGGATTTCCTTTTTTCTAATAAAAATTATTTATTTTTTTTATCACTGAACGAGTAAAGAGAGATTTAGATTTCACGGTTAAACCATTAATTTTTTTTCATGACCACTAAATAGACATCAAGTTGAGTGGTCATGTCAAATGTAAGGGAAAAACACAAGTAAAACTTTAATACGTGCATGTGAAGAGTGTGTATCTCGCTCAATTCTCAATACTAGCTAGCGGATGAAGTTAGGCTCATATTCATAGGGTGACGAGTGAAGTAACTRCGATGATCGTGACAAAACTTTAAAAGAAGAACAACGAAAGAATCAAGACATGTGAAAACTAGTCTCCCTAGCTAGCTAAGATGAAGTCTTTGTAGAGCAAGAATAATATGTCTAGCCTAACATAAACATTTTGTTCCAACTTCAAATGCTAGTTTGAAATGGTCACTGGAGTGAAATAGTGCTATCGTGTTTGTGTTCGCACATATTCGATTTAAGCATATAGAATGTGAAAGTTTTTCTCAAATCTCTCCAAACAAAATAAAGACAAYATTGTCATTTAATTATCATGCGATCCCGTCGTCTAACCATAAAAAATTGTGACGAATAAGAAATCAACAATACTTATATAGACTAACCATTTAAGCCTTTAACATCGCTATTCATATATTTTCATCATCCCATAAGAGAAAGTTGCATTACATTAGATCAAGGGTCTTTTTTTTTTTTTTGTGTCAAATGATTGATTTACAAGAAGGCACATGAACATTAACTTGATAAAAAATCAAACAATATCTGAGGGAAATAAATTGCATGTGATATGGTCAAAAAGTGGCCAACTACCCTCACCAAACTTATCCATATATGAATTCATTAGAATAGTAATGTGAAAAACAAAGCCTTTTAAAAGGCAATTTGGCATAAAAGAATTCAAGAGGCCTTAGCCATAGATTAGACCATATTGCTATAAATTAGAAAGTGGGCTTAAATAAATAAAAACTTTGGCATAAACAACTTTARATAGAGGCCATGTGCAATTTTCTCTCTTGGATCCCTCATTATTGATACAAGCTCATGCAATTGCAAGAGGGGTTGAATTTAAACCTTTCATTTAAATCTTGTGGGACATGTCACTCATCTTATTTGAATTGTCTTGAGATATTATTGGGTTGGAGGCATAAATTTAATGCACATAATTCATCAATTTTTGACTGCAATATCATCATTCTCTTTTTCATTTTCTTCTATTCTTCTTCTTTTCTTAATCAATGTCCAATTATCATTAGTCAATCATTTGATGAGCCGGTAGTTGTACTATCTTCAACAACAAAAGGTAGTTTTTGGAAAAACATAAGGTATATTTCAATAGCTGTTTTTAGGGGTGATGACGGGTTGGGTTGGACCCGGCTATAAGGGGTTTTGGGACCAACCCTAACTTTCGAGTTGGCCATATATAGAATCGTCGGGTTTGAATTAGATGACCAACCCAACCCAATCCAATATCTTCAGGTTGGAATGGGTTTTGTTTGTTTTTAATTATCATGGTGGCGACGATAAGTTAGGATTAAAACTAAATATACATATGAGATATATTAAGATATAAAATGAGAGAATATAATATGAAAACCTACTAGGATTAGAATTAAATGGATTCTTGACATTAAAGATAAAAGATACTATTATATATATACATATATATATATGTAATTAAAAAAAATACACATATATGCATAAATTCGGGTTTGGTTGGGTTGACCCAACTTTTTAACGGGTTGGGTTTGGGTTCGTCGAATTGTCAGATTTTTTGAACACCCGGCCCTTAGCTATTTCTAAATCTTATTTTCTCGCCAATATAAGCATAGGTCAGCAGTATTCATTTTCTTGTTGAAGGTTCAAATTCTTATACCCCAATTTATTATACTAAAAAAATATTATTTTCTCTGGTTTTCATTTTCAAGAAAGTTGTGATAGAATCTTACGTTACAAATTTGAGTTTTTTATACCCAAATATACCATAGATTGAATTTTTAAAAATTACAATATAGTTGTTCCAAAATTGAAAAATCAGGTGATATATGAAAAGAAAGGAGAATAATTGAAAATTTTCAAAGTTGGAGCAAAGTTCAGTTTAAAGAGGGGGAGAGAGTCATGTATCAGCGTATATGGTTTACAAAATAAGGTTTCTCGAGATTTAAAAAAATTATAGAAATTTCCTATTTATTCGACGCAATTTTTATCTTATTTTTATGTTTCTYTTTAAGTATATTACCAGTAAAAAAAAAAWTTAATACTACATGAGTTTAACTTAACGATAAATAACGTCTAAAAATGGGATTGGAGGTTCAAACTTCCATATCTCCAATTTATCTTACCAAATAAAACTAAAAAAATTTAACTTTTTCTCCTAAATTTACATAAAATTCATTAAAATAAAAAAGAAGAAACATATAATAAATAATTAATAAACAAACATTTCTCTAAAAAAGTAGGAAAAAAAACGAAATAACTAGAGAAATGCCTCACCAACAAAGTCTTTTTATAGTCTTTTAGGTTAATTATACCTCTATGCTTTTAAAAGTTTTAATTGTCTCTATATTTCATTGATTAATTTCGATATACTTGAATTAAAAGAGTATTAAAAAAAAGGTTAACAACGAGCTCACAACTCAGATTTTAATTGTTTCAATAAACAATAGTTAGAAAAAAAAACTCATATATAATTTTGATTTAAACACTATTTTAGTTGATATATTTTTAATTTTTTTCTATCTTAATTTCTATATTTTTAAAATATTTATTTTTAATCTCTATATTTTTAAAAAGGGATTATTTTATGATCTTTTGATTTTCTTTTTAACTCAGTTTTAGATTACAATTCAACGGGAAACTATACTCAATCAATTTCTTACCATATAGTCCTAGYTTTGTATTAAAGGATTTCGCTGTGTTTATATTCAATTCTGATTTTCAAGAGAGCACATGCAAAATATGAATCGATCTATGTGAGGAGAGACATACAAAAAGATTACAAACACTCRAATTCTTAAATTAGTAAGAATCCGACTTGAAGCTCTCGAAACAAGGAATCAGATTGCATACATGCGTATAGAAATGATTGGCTATATAGAAATTGAATAATAGGTCKCACGACTCTGATC